TATATAGTCTCAATGGTCAATTGTAGCGAGTCTTTCCTTGTCCTGCCTTCCAGCTCCCAAATAACAACACTGAGACTTATTAATTATGAAAGCTTAGTCAATAGCTTAGGCTTATTTCTAACTAGCTCTTATAACTTAAATTAGCCCATTCTAATAATTTATGTGCTTTCACGTGGTTTATGGCTTGTTACCTTATCTCCTGCATGCCATTTTCCCTCTGCATCTCCCCATGACTCTGCCTTCTTACCAGCATTCTCTCTGCCCCCCAAATCCTGCCTAACTATTGGCTGGCCATCTAGCTTTTTATTAAACCAATCACAGTGACATGTCTTCACACAGTACAAAGAAATATTCCACAACAGTCAATCTAGAAATGCATTTATTGTAACCCTGTAGAGGATTATTCTAAATAATAAAGAGATTGTGCTAAATGGGCATCCTATGGGTTCATGGTTTGTGATGACAGAAATTTAATTAGTAATGTTAATAATTATCATACTAATAGTTGCTTGGCAAATTTGCAAATGGTAAGGGGCTGAATGCTTTCAGGATATAATGCTCCTGAAGTTTTATGTATGTTATTTGGTTATTTATTTAATAGCATTTATATGTGCTATTGCTATTAACTTTAGTAAGCTAAAAACCCGAGACAACTCAGTACACACATACATTGTGGATAACCCCATTAAGGTCAGAATCACAATCCTAAATTCCCCCTTTCTTCTGAAGGGAAATTTTGCTGAAGCAAATCACACTTCAATGATAGTTTCTGCATAACTGTGATTTCTTGACAATGGCAGCATCTATAATGTTAAAAGTTTTTAAGAGCGGCCACCCAGGGTTTCTAGTTTAACGTGAGACAGTGATGTTTCTTTAAGTATCTAGCAGTTCTTTTAAGGCTTCTAGGTAGAAATCTATTTTCATCATTAATTCTGACCTATGGACCTGTTAGAGTTTCACAATAGATCTTTAGTTTCATATTGTGTGTCTTTAGTGTTTGCTTTTGTTCTTATATTTATGGAGTCCCTAAGATTATACAATGATCCAAATAAATATGGCCCTGGGGATATTTATACCATGGCAGATATTGACCTTGCTGGCTTGTTAGCTTTTTTAATACTCTCGAGTTTCTAAAAGAAAAATTTAAGCCAGGTGGCAGTGGCACACGCTTTTAATCCCAGCACTTGGGAGGCAGAAGCAGGTGGAGCTAAGTGAGTTTGAGGCCAGTCTGGGCTACAGAGCAAGTTCTAGGACAGGCTCCAAAGCTACACAGAGAAACCCTGCCTAGAAAAAAACAACAACAAAAAAGAAATAAAGAAAAGCAAAGAAAGATTTTAATATTCTCTCATTCTATTTAGTTATTTATTTCAAAGAAAGCAGAATTACGCACAAATCAAGTGTAAGAGAGAGCAGGGAGGAGATAGTTTATATGTCCTGTCTTCTGTTCTTTCAGAAATCTCAATATTCTCAGTGTTCTCAAACATCTGAGTTCGTCCTGCCAAGAAAGTGAAAGGTGCAACACAGTGCCTCCAAAGTTAGAACCCAAATGAGCGACTCTTCTGTTGCTGAAATAAGACACAAGGACAAAGGCCACATAAGGCTCTCGTTTCGGAGAAACGCAGTCCTCACGGTGTGGGAGATAAGATGGCAGGCGGGGAAGGCACATTGGCAGGACCAGGATGCTGATGCATCACATTACCTCTATCCTCAGGAGGCAGAAAGTGAACAGGAAGTGGAGCCAAGCTACAAAGTTCTGCTTCCTCATTGGGCTTTGCCTCCGAAAGTTCTACAAGCTGCTCAAACAGCGCCTCTGGCTGGGAACCATGCATTCAAACAAGCGCCTGCGGAGGACACTGCACCCTGCACCACAAAATCTCCATGCTCTCTACACCTTCATCTGCCGTAAAGACCCAGGGTCTGTTGTTTCCTGGTATCTCTCAAAGAACGTGGAGAGGAAAGAGTTTCCCTGTGGGCAGGAAAGACTGATGTGAAGGATGGCTACAGTCAGCATTCTGAGTAGAACACACAGGGCCTGTGTGTTTCCTTCTACTGCGGGAGCAGACTCGTGGTAGTGGTTCAAGGGTGATCACGACCACAGCAGGCCAGGTCTCTTCCTGCAGGAAGGTGTTTGTATGCCTTGGCTGCAGCTTCTGGGCAGCCTGAAGAGGGTACTCAGACTTAGCACATCTGAGGTTCACCCAGGATTCAGTCAATGGAAAGTGTCAGAGTGCTGGAGGAGGAGAGAATTTAGGCATGATTTCTAAATTTCTCTCTGGGGGTGGTGAAACAAAAGAGGAAAAACAGATTTGTATGGATGCTGAGGTTCAAGATTTATTTTGGCGTTGACTTTCATCTATATAAGTCAAACTTGCTGCTCAAAAGAGATATTTCAGCTAGAAATAAACAAGCAATGATGAAAGAAGGGGTAGTCAGTGAAGTGAGAGGGATGGGTGACGTTGCTCAAGGTCTTGGACGTGAGAAGGAGCTGGGGCCAGAGACCTCTGGAGAATGCTCACATGTGAGGGACGAGCTGACAAGCGGGGAAAGCTGGAGAAGGAGCCAATGGATGATCCACTTTGGAATATTCCCACGACGAATTGTTTTGTTGGTATCTGCCAGGACTCTTCTCCCCTGCCTTCACCCCGTCCTCCTCCCCTTCCCTTCGTACCCCCACCACTTTCTTTTTGTTTCCATACCCTCCTCTTTCTTTCTCCATTTCCCCTGCCCCTCTCCCTTCCGTCCTCCTCCCTCCTTTTTTCTCTCCTCTCCCCTTCTCCTCCTCATTCTCCCCTTCTCATTCTTTCCAACTCAAAATCTCACACTCAAACCTTATTATCATTCGTCCCCTGCTCAATCTCAGGTACAATAACTATGGACAAAGCACCACTTACATTTCACACACAGCTCCTCCTGCCTCTGCCTCCCTGTATGCTTTGATTAAAGGTGTAAGCCACCACCGCCTGGCTTTACTTACATCCCATGAATGATTTCATTTGAATTTCTCCCCGCCCGAGTTCTATGGCAGTGTATTCTACCTTCTTAAGTAGGAGAGAAGCAAGCTCAGGAAGCTTACATGGTTTCGTAGGAACCACGTGGCCAGCCAGATGAGGCAGTCCAGATGTAACCCTGTGCTCCCAGCCTCAGCCCTGGCTCACAATGCCTTCTCTAGTTCTTGCTACTTGCTCCTCTTTTTCAATTCTATGTTGTCTCTGCCCTACCCTTTGTGCACACAGTGCTTCAACTCTTTACTCCTCTTAACACAGGCAAATATTCTCTTCCAAGTCTTTCCAGTGGCTTTTGTGTGACTCGTTGGGCTCTGGATCCATT